GTATCCTCTATCAGCGGGTTAACTGGCCTACTCTCCATTGGCATGGGAACCAGTGAATCCTCTATCAGTGGGTTAACTGGCCTACTCTCCATTGGCATGGGAACCAGTGAATCCTCTATCAGTGGGTTAACTGGCCTACCCCCTGCTACCCCCTGCTTTTTCCCAGCACGCTTCATTGTGGTCCTTCGCCTGGGACCTGCTTGCCCCCGGCCACCATCGGCTCGCTCTTTGCACTTGGCATTAATCTTTTATGAGGGAACAATGCCTCTGTGTAGGGTTTCACTGGCAGTGGAAACAGACGGCCCGTTTGCCGGCCCACGGGGAAATCCCGCGGCTGCCCACAGAGGGGGCTGAGAGACTCAGAGCACACTGCGTCTATTCAGCGTTATCAGCCACTCAGAGCCTGCCTTTCCCAAGCCCAAAGCTCCGTTCTGTTCTCCTTAAAAAAAAAAAAAAAAAACTCTTATGCCCCCCCTGCTCCATTCGGCCCACCACCTCTCATCTTTATTCAAGAGAAACAGAAAGTACTGCTGACAAGGGCAGGGCGAGCTTGTAATCTGGGGCCCTTCAAGCTGCAGTGGAGCCTCCATGTGTCATGTGCCTGCACGAGACCGTGTGCCGCCTCGCGCCACGCTGCGTTCTGATTGGACGCCCATATCTGAGTGTTAATGAAAACACCGACACCTATTCTGCCGTAGAAAGGAAAAACACAGTAACTGCATATTTCACTAGAACGGAGTTATAAGCAAAATCGGGGCTCTTAGGCTTGTGACACATTACCTTAGTTCAACCATCCTCAGGTTTGAAGACAGCACCATCATTCTCCTACTGACCGTGAGGGTGAACGATCGGAAAGGCTTTGAAGCCCTTCTTCTCAGTTTAAGTGTCAACATAGTTACTGCGTTTCGCCTTTTTCGGGTAGCACTGTTGATGCCGCTTTGACCAACAATGATAAACTGAAGCACCTTGCAGGGCCCCCACAGTTCTCTCCCTGGTGGGGGCAGGGATGGGGGGGGGGCGGCAAGCAGCATGCTAAGGGCAAGGAAGTCAATGGCTGATCTCAGCGGGATGTGAGTAACTGGGGCTGCTGCTCAGTGCCGTGGTGGGGGGGGTGGGGGGGGGGACCTGTCAAATGCCCCCACGGGCCAAAGCATCAGGGGAGGTGATTTAAACAGAAAAAACAGGGTGCATTTCTGGAGCACGGGGACTTGTTTTTAGGCTCCTAAAGCTGCGGTTTCCAGCAGAGCAGCTTGTGCTGGTGTCAGGCCGTGAAGCAGCTCTGCTCTAGCTTTCTGCTGACCACCAGTCTGAGGAGGCCTCAGCTGAGCCCGACCGTGCTGTCACAGATGAATAGGGTCAGCTGGGCAGACTCAGGGGGTCCCGCGCGTTGAGAAGGCATTTGCTCTGGAAAGGTGTTTATACTGTTTACTGCATCTAGAGCTGTTGCCTCAGTTAGTAAATAATGAGTCTGTCATGCAGTGCCGGGCCCCAGACCGCATTAACGTCCCCAGTGCACGCTCTTAAACGCACTGTTGCTAGGCACCCGCCAGTGTACCTCCACCAAACTCATCGGGCTGACGCCGGTCGGTTTACCTGGCCCGGTTCTGTGGGCTTGGTTCTGCTGACATCACAGCATAGCTCTCCGTCCTCTCCACGGGACTTATGACAACAGCATTCACGTTTGCCTGACTTCTGCACTGAGCGAGATGGAGCAGAAATTGCCCAGGGTCTGGGGCAGAAGCCATGACCTCACCGGGCCCCCCCCAGGGGTGACCCACTCCATAGCTTCACCATGGAATCTTCTCGGGACCTGGCTGCCTCACCCACCCAGTGTGTTACACCCCCTGGGGCACCCTGGTGTTGCCCAGCAACAGCCTTCCTGGGACCTCAGCTCACGATGATGCAAAAAGGACACAGATGTATGCATAAGGCAATTCCCACAGGCATGAAAGTGTTAACCAGCTGCCATCTACTTATCACTAACACTATTTATTAATCTCTAACTTTATTTATCACTAACAATTTCAGACCGCAATATATTGTACATCTGTTTCTAGCACTACTGCACTATGTTGCACTTGCAGATTAGATGCCAAACTGAATTTTGCGTGACGATACAGTTGAGCGTAATCTAAAATCTGATCTGGGCCGACTCGTCAGGAATGTTGGTTAGAGGAAAGAGCAGCTTTGACTGGGCCAGTCAATGGGGGGGGGCGCCCATGACTATCAGCCATTTTCCCAGGGTAACGGCACATAAATAACAGACCATGGACGAGGCCTCATCACACAACACAACCATGAATAACGTGACTAGTTAGAATCTGTTCCAGGCACCATGCAAACGTCTGTTTTCAAATAGGTAGGTTCAGCTGCAGCTATACCATTTGCATGCATGGTGAGTTGGTGACTATGACCAATTACCCAGAATCCTGTGTGCTTGTGGAGTTTTATAAAGAGCACGATCAAAGAAGCATGTAAGGTAACCGTGACGTCCTTTTGCAGCACCACGGGATACGTGTGCGCGGCACGTCGGCTTGCATGTGAGCAGCACTGCCGCAGCTGCAGGTAGAGTATAAGACGGGAGCGTTCCGCTCTCGCATGGCATCATGTCCAACCAGACACAAGGTCCTATGAAAACACCCACAGCAGGCACACGATCCCACTGGGGGGGCAGGAAGGATCAGTGGTACGATTGGAGGAAATCAGATTCATACGGTCTGTTTCATAATGACCACACACCCCACCATGCTGAAAACAATATGGAAAGACACTCCTACTCCTTTGGAAGTATCGGAGAGCGGGAATAGAAGAGCGTTTGCGGAGATCTCATACAGCACAACATTTATGTTGGCCCCTGAGGTTTGGGAGCCCCCTGTTGGCCACAAACAGTCACAATACTGTGGGGGGCACAGATCAAAGGTTTTCCTTAAAGGAAGAGTAAAAGCAAGATGGTGGGGTCCCAGAGGGGATTGTGTTTGTGTTTAGTTACTGGGGGCTGTAGCCTGTAGGTGAGGGTGGGGAGGAAACCACAGGCTTTTTTAGCACCAAGCCCCTACTAAGCAGGGCAAGAAACACTCATCTCTCAATCAGCCACTTTGCTGAAAGGTGTCGCTTCTGCGAGTCACAGCGGACTTCCGACACCGAGACGGCAGAGCGGGAAGAGCCTGTCCCTGTGAACGTGAATAAGCCAGGCGCCGTACATCGGCCTGGAGCTGAGCTGCCATTGTGGAGGGATCCTATGACACTTCAGTTCATCGCACCTGCTCAGACGGAGAGCAGAGATGCTGTTATCTGCTGCGACCTGCTCCTGCGGATCCAGGTGACCTCGCGAACCATCGCTCCGATTAGTCAGACACACCGAGGTTTCGGCGGCGTGATGGGAGTCGTGTGCTGATTCGGCTGTGGGCGGCAGCCTTCGGTGAGTCACGGCAAGCTGTGAAAGGATGGGACTGTGGGGGGGGGGGGGGGGGGGAAACAAGCTTATTCAACTGCTCCCCCACCCCCGTCACAGAGCCCAGCATTGCAGAGGAGCTTCAGTCAAAACATACCGCTGATTTTGGCGATGGGAGGGTGAGATAACTGCGTTAGCTGAGGCACAAACATCCGTCTGGATTTAGTGATGGTTGATCCGATTAAGGCTGCGGTGATCCACCACGACTCACCGGAAGCGTACAGAAGAGAACACACGTCACAATAAGGAAGATCTAGAGCCGGCGATTCACCTGCACTCTCAATACAGGGAGGAAAGGAAAATCATTACGGGGCCTCAGAATTACCTGCTGAGCCACTCAATCCAAAATCATCTATGACAAAAATTCCCACTATACAACGAGCCTCTTGATCATGTGATCGGTCTCAGGCTCACGCACTGACATCCTCTTACCGTGCCGATGCCTGCAATGCTCCCAAACTACAGACAGAACAGGAGGCGGCAGAGACAGGCAATTCAAGACTAATAACCAGGAAAGGCTGGTTTTCCCCTGGCTGTCCCAGCTCTGGGCCGGATTGACGTCACAGCAGATTCCCAGAACTCCCAGCTTCTCCTGGATCCAAGGGCAGGCTGGCTTTGATGTTTCTCACATTCCAGGGTCTTTTTATGGTGTCACAGACAGCAGTAACATACAAACGGGAGCCAAAATGCTCATTTGGTGATTTCACAACCGTTTCGGCTAGAAAAGGGAGGATTGAAGCAGACAGTAAAAACTGAGCCATCAGTTTCAAATCTGCTGAAAAAAAAAAAGAGTCAAATATGTCAAAGCAAAATTTAAAGTCCCCCCAAAACAATCCAAGAAATTCAGCCTCCTTTGTGGTGAACTGAATATTCAAAAAATAACAGAAAGATGAACAGTCAAAAAGAAAAACATGGCTGATATCTGACATCTCCAAACAGCACCGTGGATGAGATTCTCCATGGGGACAGATGCCTCAGAGCCAAGGGGAAGCTCCTGGGGGGGAGGGGTGACACCACATGATACCTGATCAGATGAGGGGCCATCGAGGGACAGTGACGGCCACCTCTTGGTGACCCCCCCCAACTGGTAGCCAGTTTCAAACCAGCCATCTGCTGGACAAAACGTTTGCTGGTGGGAACACCTCAGCATCTGTGGAACGTTCCTCTGGCTCCTAACTGCAGAGCTGCACTTTTTAAAATGGATAAACTGGGGCTTGACTGACACGACTATCAGAGGTCAATATCCAGCCTGATGTGAACAGCAACGACTCTGGCCGTAGCTGGAACTCAGCTTCTGTTGCCACGGGCAACCTAGCCGGTAATGATGACGGGGTAGGTTACTGGGGGCTAATGGGGAGGAAGCAAAAAAAAAAAAAAAGGCTCCATCCCCCCCCCCACCTTGGGTTTTAACACTCCCCCTGGTCCAGTGTGGTTTGGCACAGCTAAAGCAGAAAGGCCCATTCTCTCCCTCAAGCCTTTTCCACCGACTGGGACGAGTTCTGGCAGAGGGATGGGGGGGCCCGACGTGACCGCCCCCAGACGTCACTGATCATTATGGGCCGAACTGCTGATTGTTTTCCAGGCAGATTTTGAGGTGACCCTCTCTGCAAACGGACCGGCCCAGCGGTTCTGCCAAGCAGGCCAAGACCACTGCATTTGGATCTGACGCGTGGCTGCGGTTTCAGCCACTGGCCGTTCTTTCTGCAGCATTTCCGCCAGGGGGACAAAGGCGCCAAAGAATTTTAGTTTCGGATCGCACCCGGATGGATTCCTGAAATATATCGAGTGCTTTCTTTTCACTCTCTGAGGCGTGAGACGAGGGCCAGCGGCTCACGGACCCCGCAGCCCCCTGCACTTATAAACAGGCACAAGAGGCGGAGCCTAAGCAGCCTTCAATCTCAGCTATGACATCACTGGAGTGAGCTTGGGGAGTAAGAAGATTCACGGGGGAATAATGATCCGTCGCCATGGAGACAGGTCTCCGAGCAGCTGCTGATTCGCTCCTGCATTTCTCCCACTCTCTCTCTCTCTCTCTCTCTCTCTCTCTCTCCCCCCCCCCTTCTCCTTCTCCAACCCTCCCTCTGCCGCTGCCAGTCTATGAGGTGTGAGGAGCAGGCAGGATACTCACAGCCACAGACCTCACTCCTCCAGACCCTGCGCGCTGCCGGCTGTGCGGGGAGATGGCAGCGTGTTCCTCAGAGATCCGGGGAGCTAACCAAAGCAGGTAGGTGCCTGGCGCGGTCTGGGATGTTTTCTATCTGCGCGGTTAGAGAATCGCTCGCTCCATCGGCTGTTTCCCCCTCTCCCCCCTCCCCTCTGGCTCACGTTAGCGAGGACGATTCGGGCTGTCAGTGTGGGTTTGCACCGGGCGGGCATGGAGGATGCTGGGCCGGCTTCGCTGGAAGGGAGCCTGGGAGCGTGATGGAGGGCTTATCCTCCACACGACAAGGAGGGGGCCCTCAAAAGGCAGCCGAGGCACTCGCCAGACCCTCCATTGTGCAGCCGGCACGTTGTCAGCGGCGACAGCCTCATTATTCTATTATTCCCAAAGCCGGCCCATTCTTCAGGGAGGGGGCAGGATGCTAATCCAGCGCTGAGATGTGCCGCATATCGACGCGAAATGTGAATTATTTACACGCCCGCTTCTGCGATGATACGTCCTCCCAGTCTAGAAGCAGCGAATATGTGAGCACATATTCGTATGGCGTGCAGGATTACGCTTCCTGGATTTCGGCTGGTGCTCAGGGACGCCTTGGAAGCTACTCCTGTCCTACAGAAGGTTCCTCCTGCTCCTTTAGAGAGGTATGAGTTATGCGTGCAGATAACTGACTACAGCAGAGGTTAAACCAGTGCCTGGTTGTGGTCGGACTCCACGCACGACGCCGGGGCGTGTTTGGTGGAGGGGAGGGGCTGGGACGGCCGCAGCCGCAGTGAATCCGCCGGTTCCCTCCCGGCGCGCGGGGGGAATGCCGGGGTATTCTGTGCCCCCCCCCCCCCTCTAACGGTGGCACACGTGATCTCGCCCGCAGTGGCTCCTGACCAAAGCAGCGGAGGGAGCGACGAGCTAAGGAGCCCCACATCCCCAGAGACTCGCAGGTGGGTCAACAACGCGTGACACTGAACTCTGCCGTGCCATAGCCAGACTGCGGCCCACAGCCAAAGGCCCACCAGCCCCACCAGCCCCACCGGCACATTCCCCCAGTATAAGAATAGGAAACGGTCACAGAACAAGACGATGGACATGGCGTGTTATGAAGTCGTGCCGAAGGGCAGCGAAGGGCCGGTGTGTGTGAACCTGCGGAAGGATCATTAACGGCAGACCCGGGGCCGCGTACCTCAGCGGGTTGGAGTGACGTACCTGTAATCAGAAGGTCAGCAGTTTAAATCCCGACATCAGCAGAGTGATGTCACCATTGGGCCCTTGAGCAAGGCCCTTAATCCCCAGTCGCTCCAGGGGCTGTCTGACCGTGTTTCCTCAAAAATGTCCACTACTTTGGGTGAAGGAATCTGCTAGATATAATTGAAGTTACATGCTGACAGGGTGGGCCTACCACTGATCTGGTATGTCAGAGACTTCAGGTGAAAGGCTGTTTTCCCCGGTGTGGGTGGGAGGTGTGGGTCTGGCCAGCAGAGAATGACATGAATGGCTGTGTAATGTGTCTCATGTTATGAGCTCCCTTAATGTGCAACTCCGCCCCCCCCCCCCACAGTGTGGAATGAAAAGCACTCCCCGTGGCTGCCTGAGACTCACGCACCCGCGCCCCTAGGGCGCCCACAGCACTCCGCTCCCCTGGTTCTGGGGGGACCATGAAATCCGACGGGCTAGGAGGACCTGTACAAACCGCCGTGTCGGCAAGGGCGGTCTACAACGGCGACACGGCCCACGTGAGGGACTGCAAGGACAAGGCCTGGTCACCCAAACCGGGGGACACCACTCAAAAGGCAAAGATGGCTGCCAGACCTAAGCCAGAACTCAACGGTTCCCCCAAGACGGATTCCCCTCGGCGAGAGAATGCAGCTATGGGGGGCACCGCCGTGACCCCAGCCCGGGAGGTCAACGCAAGCAAGGACAAGAAGCCCAATGGGACGAGACCCAGAGCCCCCGCCAACTCTGCCACAGCACATCCGAAGACCAGCAAGTCCAAAAAAAATGGCTCAGGGACAGAGTCTCCTCAGGGTGTGGACGGCCCACCCCCCCTCAGCACCCCCACCTCCGGCAGCGTCTCACCTGAGAACAACTCCAGCAGCCCCCGCAGCGCCACCCCAGGTTTGGAGGACTCACTGCATCTGATTTTATTTATTGCATTAAAGGGCCGTGGCTCTAGTGTTGGCCATGCATTTCTGCCCCATTTTCCATGTGTGAAGTGACAAGGGCCGCTAAGAATAGCCATTAGAGCATGAAATTAGCCTTATTAAAAAGGCGCCACCCCGCAGCTCTTTGCCCGATGGGGCCTTCTTGGGCAGTGGGGGGGGGGTGGGCAATATTTCAATGGGATTTTCGCTCTCCGATCTCATGCTCAAACAACCCTAGCCTCATCTCAGCCATGACAGAACTGGCATGACCTGAAGGTCAGACGTAACATACAGACCTCTCACGGCCCCAGGGATTTAACCTCTCTGTTCTAAGGGGGGGAGGGGGGACACGGTGAATCCATTGTCCCACTGACCTATTGTGGGCTTCCCAGATGGGGCCAGTTGCCCAGTAAACTGGCCCAAGCACTGGCACAGCCAGCAAACTACCGCAGGCCACTTTACCATAGATCATTATTTCTGAATGAGACGTATTCACTCCCCCATCCACAACAGCCGTTTTATTACTGCTGATGACTCTCACCCTATGGTGAGAACTGGCAGGGCATATTTATGGATGCTGGCTCGGAGAGAGAGCACGTCAAAGAGGAAGTCTCCTTCCCGTCTGGAACTCAGCCGTGCCCGAGCAGGCCTGATCTGGGTCTGGTGGCTCGCTCCCGTCGGCGCTGATGGTCCCTGTCTCATGAAATCAGAAGCAGAAAATCCTTTTTATGATATGTGCATGTAGATTGATTTATTTTTTTAGCAAACTGAACTACTGGACATGCAGCTGCACTCCATGTTTGTGGAGCCAAGCGCCTGTTTTAGCTCAGCAGATCAATACATTTCGTTACAAGAAAAAATCATTTCTGAGCATTAATGCACAGTGTAGTAAGTCAGTGATAAAACACAGGCTGCTGTCGGTCATTGCTTGAGCAAAAATATTAGTATATAATATAGAAGTATAATATGGACTTTTTTCCATGTAGAAAGCATTTTACCAAGAGTGTGATGTACAGTATGACTAACATGACACTCCAGGTCACTCCAAAAAGCACTGTTTCCCAATCCAGTGCTCAGGGATCCACAGACAGTCCACATGCTTGCCTTACTGGTAGCTGGGAGGGAGCAAAAATGTGGATTGTCTGGCAGGAGGCTGGGAGGGAGCAAAACCATGAACCAACTGTGGGCCTCCAAGGGCCGGATTAGGAAAAACTGGTCTAAACTGGTCTTATGCATAATTTCAGGACAGCGGTCAAAAACTGTTGCCAAGGTGTCACCTCGATCCCCCGTGACCAAGACACTACGGAAACCCTGCGATCCCACCAAGGCTAACAGGTAAAGGATGAACATATGACTAGAATCAGATGCATGGGAAAAGCCAAGGCTGACTTGGCTGCCACACAGTGGTGAAAACTCTGAACTGCAAGACTGTGGTCAGCCGCTACCACAACGGAATGTTATTTATTCTCACAGCACAACAAGCAGGACTGTCACCAAGGAGGCCAGCAAAGCCAAATCCGGAGCATCAGGCCGCCCCTTTACAGCGGCTCCAGGTTCAAAAGCTGAACCAAAGGGGAGAAGCACACCCACCAACCCAGGAGAGAACTTAGGTCAGGCATTACACAACCTACAATCCACGCATTACCAATGGCCAATGTGCCAGTCTCCTATTCACAAAAGAATTAGGCAGAAGGTGATGAATAATGCTGACGTGTGTTTATCTGCATGCGCATAAAGCTGGTCGATTTTTCTGAATGCAGGTCCCAAGCCCTCCTCCCAAGCCAGCGGCACGCGAAAGCCCACATCCCCACGGAAAGAGGAGATCCCCAAGCCGCCGGCTGGGGACGGGGCAGCCGGCGATGCTTCCAAAAAGAAGCCGGCCAAGGCTTCTCTGGCTGCCACGACGACTGCCAATGGGAAACAGGCAAAGGCCGCCGCCGCCAAGCCAGTGCCACTCGCCGGCGGGAAAAGCTCCCCAAGGCAGAAGGCCGTCGCTGAGTTTCCCACCCCGAAGGGGTCGCCCAAGTCGGCTGGGCCTGACAAACAGGCCTCCCCCGGACTCAAGAGGCACTCTGCCAAAGGTAAGGAGACGTGCAGCCAGAGGAGCCCAGCCGGCAAGCTAACAGGCCCCAACCCCCACATATCCACTGCTGAGGAGCAGCCAAAGGGGGCAGTGGAGCAGGCAGAGAAATCCCCAGCACATGTGGGAACACACCGGAAGCCTGACGTAGCCACATTAGGGCCAGGCCATTCTGCCGAGACCTCTGCCCGTGTGGGTAAGACTCGGCATTCTGGCGGGGGGGCAGAAAACCAGAGGAAAGCCCCAGCGGAGAACCATGCCGCACGTACGGACACCAGTGCCAGGATTGCAGCAGCGCCGATGCCAGCCCATGCCACGCTGCCGGGCCCGGCGAACCCTCCCAAAGGCAATGAGCCGGCCAAGACACCAGGCAGCCCCGCAGGGCCCCAGACTCCACCGGATTACTCGTGGAGTGGCTCCCACCGGCAGGTCAGCCCCGAGTCGGAGTCCGCCAGTGCCGCAACCACCTCCTCAGATGACATCAAGCCGCGCTCAGAGGACTACGATGCCGGCGGCTCTCAGGACGACGACGGCTCCAATGACCGCGGGGTCTCCAAGTGCGGCACTGTCCTGTGCCATGACTTCCTGGGCCGTAGCAGCAGTGACACCAGCACACCAGAGGAGCTGAAGGTGTACGAGACAGCGCTGCGGGTGGAGCCCCGCCTCAGGGCTCGTGATGCACCCGACCCCTTCCACGGCCACTCCACCAGCGAGGAGGAGGTGACCCGCCGTAGGCCGCGCTCCTGGCAGCGGCATGAAGATGCCCCCCTGGAGAAGGAGACCTGTGAGGACAACGCCAGTGCCCTCACTGTCCGGAACATTCCAGACCACCAGCTCTTTTCTTCTGATGAAGAGGAGGAGACGGAGGACGAGAGGTCAGAGGTGGAGATCCACACGGAGGTGGCCCAGCCTGCTGCCGACCTCTCCCCACGCCAGTTCCAAGGAATCGTTAACCTGGCTTTTGAGGATATCGGCGAGGCGGACAACGACATTCCCGCTTACCCATCCACCTCCAACTTTCGCCGCTCAGTCCTGCTCTCGGTGGATGAGTGCGAAGAGCTGGGATCTGAGGAGGTGGGAGCGCAGACGCCACTCCAGCGGTCCAGCACCACTGCAGCGGGTGACGTGTTTGATGCCACGTCCGACAAGCCAGTGAGGCGTGTGTGTGACTCTTCTGACTTGCCAGCGAGGCGGGAATGTATGCCAGCTACCCCAGGAAGTGCCCTGAGAGAGGACAGGGAGCTCCCGCAGGAGGGGCAGAATTGCAGCCAGCCTGCAGGGAGTATCGGGCCCGCCGACCAGCCCCCTGACCGTGAAGGCACCGACCCCCGGCCCCAGGAGAGACCCCGACACCTGGACCTCCAACGCAGCGAGCAATACACGGACAGCTCCCTGCACAAGAACCCGGCGCTCGAACCCACAAACAAGAAAAAGGAACCACAGCTGGAACTGTGTGAGCAACAGTCGTCTTCCCCAGCAGGTAATGTACAATCTTAGGACCCGGGCTTTCTGTGAGGCTTCTAAACGAGAAACAGTCCACCTTCCGCATGACACAACCTCCCTTAAATGCCCTGTCCGCCACAGCTCAGGCTTAGCCTCATGCTAACAACATCATGCTAGCCTGCCCCTCACGGTCTAAACATGTCTGCCCCTCCCATCCAATAGTAAATGCTAGAATATATCAATAGTTGCTCGTCTGTGCATTTCACATAAAGAATGGCACAATGATTGCGTTGCTATAAAAGACATGAATTCCTCATTTGTTACTTTACAAGACGAAAATATATATTCTTTAAGCTTAGCTGTTTTTATCGACACTATGGCGTCGTTAAGCCGCTGTCCGTTTAAAATGGAGGTCTGCCGAAACAGCAGAAAGGGTTAATCTTCTTTGAGACTGAAAAAACTTTAAACTTTTTTTCTGGAGAGACTTGAATTGAAAGCTTAAAAAATTAAATAAATGTCTCAAATGTGTTGCTCTCTCCTTACTAATGGTATCTGCTTGCATGCTGCGCAATGCGCTGGTTAGTCGCATCTGGCGAGACAGAGCTGTCTTATAAAAGGCTTACCAATGCACTTTGATGTATCATACAAAGCATTTAAAGATTTGCACATTTGTTTTTAATACACACCATGAGTCAGTCCTGCACTCCAGTGAATGTCTTGGAAATTGAGTCTCTTAGGCTGTGGTTAAAAAAATAAAAGTAAATTAAATAAATGTACTTTGAACTTCTTAAGAACTCTGTTTATGCAAGTAACGAAGTCTATGTACGCTAAGCGGAATTTGTCGAAAAAGGGAGCAAATATGTGCGGCGCGCGGACCGCCTATGTGGGCGCGTGTATGTGCGTGCGCGTGTCCGCGGGACCAGGTCCCTCGCTGTCTGTCTGACCTGTTCAGTCTGTACTGCTCTCTGGGTTTCCTGCATGCTGACTTCTATCATTTATGTTACCTGTTGCATTTTGAGCCCCAAAACAGTGACATGCGTCCTAAGTAGTTTAGAATCTGTGTGCAGTTCATTCTTTTGTTGGCCATTTCCTTTATTTCATTTCTGTTGTTTCTGCTGCAGTGTGGTGTTTATAGCTAGTAGATGATCATCTTCAAGCACAGCAGTTTTCACTGAATGCGGTAGTGTTCTGTTTTTCCACTGTTTTATTTTACTAGTCATTTGTGGTGCTTAAAGCGTGTTATATTTGATGTGCTTTAGACAGATGACATATTCTGCCGTGTCTCTTTTTTCGGTCACGCTTTCGCCGCTGCAAGGTGTCGGGGGATCAGCTGCTTTTGGTTCTATAATGCAGACGCACCCCAAACCTTTAATAAAGCCTTTGCCCAACCGCTAAACCCCTCTTCAACCGAATCAGACGATCGGTTTAGATCTTAGCCAAAGCGGGTTCTGAAATGGCGATTGTGCTTCTCCATGTTTTTTTTAAAAAAAAGACATAAAAATGCACAGATTCTCAGAGTACCATGAAGCGGCCGAAGAAAGAGACATTCAGACCGATTCTCTGTATGCACCTTTAGGGCAATGCAGTCCACTGGCACCTGTTTTATTGCAGATTTTAAGTATTTACAACGATGGAAAGCATTCGCAGAATCCTGCGGTGTCCTGTAGCACCCCCTACAGACTGAACTTTGTAATCACTGTTTAGTTTTTTTTCCTATTTCAAACTACAACAAATGGCCAGACCAAGCTGACCCTAACCTTCTTAATTAACTAATAAATGCGATCTATAAATGGAAAGAGGACTGACCCGTGGTCCGGTTTGTTGACGCTGACCATGAAACCCTCGAAATGCAGAGTGGACTAAGTTACTAAGGGTGCTAAGGGTGACACTCCCGCTTGTGTGGGTCCCGACCAGTGGCCCCGGTGCTTCAAATCCGCTCGTGTAAACCATTTTAGAAACGTTCACAGGCGACCGGAGTGGCTCTGACATTGTGTAGTATTGTCAATTGCTTCCAGGGGACTTAGATGATTGTGAGAAACTGGATCAAAGCAGCACTTTTGACCGCCGCCCGTCCAAAGTCCTATCTCCCATTTATGAGACGGACACGGGGGAAGCCTTTGAGCAGAGCATTGTTGGCCGGCGGGAAGAGCGAGAGGAGGAGAGGGAGACGGAGCAGGCGGCCGAGGAAGAGGAGGAAGGCGGGGACGCTGACGACTCCGTGAGCAGGCATTTCGCCGAGCGGGACTGGACGCTGCTCCGACAGCTCCTCTCGGACCAGGACTCGAGTCTGGGCATCATCACCTGCGTGCCCGAGGACCTGAACCTGGCGCAGTACCTGATTAAGCAGACGCTGGCGCTGTCACGTGACTGCCTCGGCGGCCGGCCCCTCCCGCCAGCGGAGCCGGAGACTTTCAAGCGGTGGGCGGAGCTTATCTCGCCGATGGAGGACTCCACCAACAGCATCACGGTGACCAGCTTCTCTCCGGAGGACGCCGCCTCTCCTCAGGGCGAGTGGACCATCTTGGAGCTGGAGACACATCACTAAAGTGGGCGGCGGCCCAGCCCCCGAGGGCCCCGCCCAACCCTGGGGGCGTGGTCTCCCCCCAAACCACCTCCCACTGGACCTCATGTTTAGCAGCCTGGAATAACAGTGGACAGTCACATTTTTGTTTTCCTTGGTTTTGTTCGCTTTCTGATGGACCTTAGAGTAAGAGCCAGTCGCTGCACCTCGTCTTCTCGCAGGTATCCTGCCAGCCAGCACTGGGCACTAAAGGAGCTTGTTGCATGTGCATTTTTTTTTGTATGTTTAACTGTTTACTTGGTGTTGCTTTGACTTAATTGCCATCAAAAAGGTGTGTGACATCCCCCCCCGACCCATTGCAGCGGTCTCCCGGGTACGTTTCATCAGGAAATGGAAGGATATGTGGTTTAAATTTGTTGGTTTACGTTCATTGTAGTATTTAAGGGAAAATAAAATGTGTGATTCTCAAAGGAAAGCAGCCAAATTAAACTCATAGAGGTTGTCAAGTGTTTAGCGGAGAGGCAGAGTTTTCACAGATACGTAGGTAGTGGTAGAAGCCCCTGCTACACCGCAACACACACCGCGACACACCCTGTGACACACACCGCGACACACCCCATGACACACACCGCAACACAGCCCGTGACACACACACACTCTAACCCATCCCTGGCACCCCAGTTTGGAAAGACGACGGCTCAGTTTCGGCACAGAACCCTGGGCTCCAGTTCCTGATACGCACCGTGGGTACAATGTAATGCAAGAACTCATTTAAATAATGAATTGTCTTTAAAAAAGACTGCGAGTCCTGAGCTGCCATTAATAATTAAAGCGTCGAGGTATTTAAAAAATGAAACGAGGTTAATTTATTTAAATTAATATTAATTTATATCAAGATTAAATTGCAGAAAAATTGGATTGAAGCTCAAAATAGTCACTCATTTGTTCACTGTTGTGTTGAATCTTTTTCTGGCAAAAATGAATTTATCATGTCAAGAATAATAACGGCAGTGTATTAAAACGACGAAACTTTGATTGGTTTCTTATTGTCTTTATGTTCCAATGTCCTATTAAATTTGCATACATGTGTATGTTTACTCTAGTTCTTTTGTTTGCAGTGCTTCAGATTGATTAGGTAATGAGGCATACACATTTTTCGGAAATGTATAGTATTATCGTTTAAAATCTGCAAAATCTACTCGTCTAAAATCAGATAAATTATTTTTCAGAGAGCAATTTTTTAATGCAAGTGATATCTAGGACTTTGTTTCTGAAAATTAAAACACAGCCTGCACCCATGACTGGCACGAGCTACCATCACCTTGAATTATAGAGTCATTATCTGGGATTATATTGAGGCATTTATTTATTAGTTATTCTAGGTAGGCAAATGAATTTCACTGAAACAGTTGTTAGGTCACATTGGCTGTGTGGATCTGGACATTTGTCTCAATTGTCTTATTAACACTCAGGGGTGTTTTTGCTAGAAACTCATGCATGGAGAGTGTAAAGGAAAAATCAGCTGTTGTGTTACTGGTAAGTCCACAGCAATGCCTTTGTATAAACCCCAGGGTTCCGCTTGGCCACCTTTATTTTGGATGCCCCCCCCCCCCCATAGGAAAAACAAAAATGAAGAAGGGCGGATCACGTTGCTGTGGACAGAGGCCGGGCCTCCCAGCTGCCGGATCCCAGGGTCACATGTGCTCATCGCCGGCATCCCAGATTACCGCCGTACCACAGACACGGAAATCCGTGTTTCCGCGTCCACAGCCTATAGTGATTGAGGGTTTAAACGAGCACTATACAATCTGTGTTTGAGCGTCATAGTCAGTTAATGGGCGACACATTCAAGCAGACATGAATGGGAAATGTGCATCTTCACAGGATGCTGATATATAGACTTGACTGATGCATTAATATGCCTGTTATAGATATTTATACAGGTAAGAACCATCCACAATCAACAAGACGCATCAGCCACACTGAAGTGCTTCAGTCAGTTAACATGAACTTAATTCACCGGCATTTACTCAGCCTGGAACTCTATGCAGTTCCCCTTTATTTAAAGGGCGCTTGCAAGTCAACAATAATGAAGCTTCATTTCCCCTCCATTCGACATGTGGCCCCCCCCAGGCAGCCAGCTGGCGCGGTGTCATCACCGTGGGAGGGATCAGGTTACCAGAGCCAATGGCATTGAGCCGCATGAAGGCGGGGCAGGGGGGCGTGGCCAAGGAGTAGGATTAACAATGCCATAGTGGCCGGGCCGGGGGGAAAAGAAAAGTCCATTACAGTTAGAAAAGGCTGGATTTTATTTTAAAATGAGGTGTTTTATAAAAACTGACATTTCTTGGCATCTAAGCACTTTGCGTGCAAACATGAGGAAATGTGTAGCAATTATAATAAAGATGCTATTCCATAAATAAGAAGCAATCACTCATACATAATCACTACAGCAAGGAGGAAACCATCAAAGCAAAATTAGTAGAAAACGAGTGTGAGGAACAGGGCAAGTCAGGAACGCTCCTCAACGATCTCCTCGATGCGCACCAGGATGCTCTCAATCAAGTCAAACGTGTGGAGGCCAGACTGCAGCACCTAGGAGACAGTGACGGGCTGGAGTGGACGGTGTAGGGCTCATGTGGGCTGCGATCCGACAGCATTCAGCGCAAGATAAACGGAGACAGGAGCAGAGTCGAGGCTCACCTGAAGCTGCATCTCCGGGGTCATGTTGGGTAGCTGCTGGCTGTCCACCGTCACAGTGCAGACGGGCGGGCTGGCCTTGGCCTCTGGGGAGAGCGAGACACCATGACACATCAGAGGCCTGTGATCGGAAGGTTGCCAGTTCAAATCCCAGGGTTGGGAGAGTAATATTACCGTTGGGCCCTTCAGCAAAGCACTTAACCCCAAATCGCTCCAGGAAGTGACTGACCCTGCCTCTCAACGTAAATCACTTTGAATAAAAGTAACTTTTAAATGAATAAAAGGTTATTATTTGTTTTAAACTGGGAAACTCACTCCAAAATAGGTGGGCAGACAAAAGAATCATGCCAGAGGGGCAGGCACTACCCCTCCGACCCGGGCGGCGAGGGGCGGGCACTACCCCTCCGACCCGGGCGGCGAGGGGCGGGCACTACCCTGCCGACCCCAGCAGACTTTAAGCAGATCGTACCTCGAGCTTTGAGCCGCTGGCTGTCTCTGATGCTCTTGAGCTCCATCTGGTAATGGGCCCTCGACATGTTGAGGGCGACACGCAGAGGCTTCATGTAACCGTCCTCAATCTTGTAGAGCTCTGTCCAGATCCCTGTCTGGAGGGACAGGAAGGTGAGCCGTGGCCTAGTGACGGCGTCCCCCCCAGCCACGGTGTAGCCACACCCACCTCATTCTCATACTCCTTGTCCCGGAGCAGCAGGTACCGTAACAGGTTCAGGGACTCCATGATTCTAGGAAGCAAAGCCGCAGGAGAGCCGTGAGTACCCTGCAGAGATATCAGGAGCAACCTCCTTCCTTCCCTCCCTCCATCCATCCATCTAACCATCCAACAGCTGTGTTTCCTCGATTGAGTTACGGAAGGAGTTTGGAGCCTATCCCAGGCAGCGCGGGTAACAAGGCAGAGGTACACTTTGGATGGGATGCCCATCCATATCTTTGGGAGAACATGCAAACTACACAAACAGTGATTGAGGTTTAAAGCCCTGGAGGTATCAGGATACAGTGCTGGCCACTGAGCCACAGTGAATTTCCACCTGTTCAATCAAATGTGGCCCATGGGCTCATCACGGGATTCCATACCACTGCGTAATCCAGCTGCCATGGCGGGCATGCAGACACGCATGCAGACACGCATGCAGACACGCTTGTAAAGCATCCACTGGCCGACTGACACCTGCAGTCAGACGGTGCCCCCGCAGCAGCTGCTGACTGACACCAGACACCGATGCAGCAGCTCCGCGACACCTGAGCACCCGGGGTTGTGGCCAGTCGCTGGGAATGCGATGGTTCGGCCCTGCTCACATGCATTAGTGATGTCCGCGGGGGCTCACCTGTCCATATTCTGTAGCAGGTCCGTCTCTGGGCCTTGGGGGAGACAGAGGACCAGGCGGAGCAGAGGCAACAGGTGCGAGCCAACGAACCAGGGGTTTCCGTTACCGGGCTGGGGAGGGAGACCCACACAGTCAGTCAGTCAGTCAGTCAGGCTGCACTGCTGATTCAGCTACCATAGATTAACATGACTAGCCAGTAAATGCAGACTTTGGTTAAAAGCTGTATATTTTACCATGATATTTGGAAGCTCCTCAGCAGGTCTCCTGCTAGTCTCTACGGTCTACAAACCTCCTTGATCTAAAATCTAGTTTCAAAAAGTTTCCATAAAAATCTGAATTTTAATCACATTCTAGCAGGAGTGACCTGTATGTAAAGGCAGCACGAGCCACCGAGGGCGTTTAAGGCAGCGTGTGACTGGCGTACCTTGAGGCCAAAGTCGATTTGGTTTTTAATGTTCTTAATCACGTAGCCCTCAACACCGGCATGGTGGCTGGTCTTCAGCATACACCTGTGGGGATTGGGGAAAGGCTCGCACACGGGTCGGGACCCAATAATGGCCACAAGCATCATGGCTTCAGCTGCCCACTCCTGACCACCCCGCCCTCCGTAAAAGCCGCCCTTTTCCCCGATAGGTGGATGCCGGAATCCCCAACGGTGCTGACCTAAAGAACTTGTGCTTGGCCTCCAGGTCGAACTTATCAATGCTGAGCTGGAACACAGACAGGCCTTTGGTTCTCTGTCAGCAGGAAGAAGGGAAGGTCATCGGGGTGGCCAGGAGCAGACGGCGCTCGGCGTGTTTACGGCAGAACCGCGGCCTTACCAGATGCTGCACTGGACACTGGGTCATCACCTTTACCAGGTTCTGGAATGAAACGTGACCAAAGACACATGAATAACCGTTTGTTTATATGGAGAAGCTTCAAACGAAGATCTCAACAGCATAAATCCGGAACATAAAACCCACCTGAGGAACGCTGAAGAAGGTTTTCAGATCCAGCAGCGTCACAGGTAAGCTGTCATCTTCCACCCGCGTCAGTGTTTTCTCATATAAATCCTGCAACGAATGACACGCTGAAGGACCTCAGCGGGACTAGATGCAGCTGGGAAGGACATCCTTCACAGATACATTATTACCAAGAGGGAAGCCATCTTACTGCGGCAAAATAGTCCAGAATTTTCTGTCCCACTACTTACCAGTCCTTTCTGTAATCGTGACTCCTCTTTCCTGCCAAAAGACAGACCACTCAATCCCTGATGTGTCTGATGTGTATATTACATGCTTAGAACATGCGCACATGTGTGCATACCTGGTCAGCAGGGTATTGATGTACTCCATGTTAAAGCGCAGGACAAACACAGGGCTAAAACAAAAATATTCTGTTTAGTCACAGATAACACCCCCCCAAGAGTGTACAGCACACATCCCACTACACCCCATTTCATTTGCGAAGCTCCCAGATAGGGCCGTTCTCCATTCCGAGGAAGTTTAGAGGCATTTCCTTGGTTTGGGGTCACCTGAGGCTGCAGGAAGAGACAAAACCTGCAAAACTGTCATGAAATTCCAGTTCCTCATCAGTCACGTGATCCCCTTAGACACCCCCAGAAAGGACCCCTCCCCCCACCATCGCTACCTGAAGACTGCGGGGAACATGTCCGTGGCCATGTGATGGACGAAGAGCAGGTAGGCCAGGCAAGCGAGGGACTCCACTGGGTAACGGGCATCTTCCTCCAGAAAACCTGGCTCCTTCCTCTTCAGCAGGTGGTGAAAGAGGAGCTCGGGGATGGACTCTCCGATGCGGCACAGGACACCCTGCGGCCAAAGATGCGAGACATTCCTCTCCGGGCACCACATCTCCACCAAAACCTCCGTCAACAGGGCCACTGGCCACTCCGCATAACTGAGGGTGGACTGGGGTGGGGGTGGGGGGGCTCTTACCAGAATCTCAATGGCAAACTTCCTGAGGGGGGAGCTCTCAGACGAGTCCGTGCCTTCTTTCAGCTGAGCATTCAGAAGAGGCTCCTTCAAGCATTTCATGCAGCTGAAAGCACACGGCAGTGAACTGAGAAAAACACTGCCCCCTACTGGCCAGGCAGTGTGACGGCACAACATGCACAGTATCCCCCCGAAGTTAGGAGAAAGACGGTGGGCTGGAGGCAGTCAGGAGAGCAATCTGCAGAAACACAGCTGCTTTCAGTCCGTTTCACTGTATATTGCTGAAATAAGCCTTCCTGTATAAAACACGAGTAAGTCGGTTTTCAGTATTCACCCATCATCCTGGTCTTACACTGAGATTGTTTGTTTAGAGCAGCCATCTTATCCGCAAAGGGCCGGTGTGTGTGCATATCTTTGTGATAACCTTTAGGTCAGCTGATTAAACCCAAGGTGTGAAAACTCTTCAGCCAATCAGTCCTCTAATTAGTAATCTAATTAGGGAGTTGCAGCGAAAACCCGCATGCACAGCGGCCCCTTTCTGGATAAGACTGGCCAATCCTGCTTTAGAGTGTTTCCGAAGACGCCCATAGATAAGGCGTGTGGAAACCTTCACCTCGTCGCTTACAATTTCAGTAGTTCGGTCTTCAGCTCGTCCTGCTGGGCAGCCTTAGTCTCCAGGCCCCGGCTGACCTCGTCCACGAAAGGCTGCACGAAGACCAGCAGGGCGGCGCAGCAGCGACAGAGGCCAAAGGTGTCGTCCTCCTCCTGCTCCCTGGTGTAGGGCACAGGCAGCCGGGCCACCTGGTTGAGGAGTGTGGCCAGGGCCATTCCCACCGAGGATGCCTTCTTCGTGCCCAGCTTCAGCAGCACTGTCAGCGGAACAGCAGCAGAGAGTCGGCAGCAAAAGATGACAGGGTTAGGGCTTGCAATTCCCAAGATGACCAGAAGAGGCTCCATAACCCCACAAGTACAATGGCTCTCCGGTTACCTTTCTGTAACGGCTGAAGGAGGAGGAGAATGGTCTCCGCTATGGCTTCCGGATGGGCATCTTCCACCTGCTCCAGCAAACCAATCAGCAGTTCTTTGGGACTGCAGACCTGATTTCAGAAAAGAAGATGGCAACGCGCTATTTACCGTGATCGTGAAAGAATGCTGTTTACCAGGAAGCACCTCCGAGATGTTTGTAGTTAGTGTTATGACTGTTAATTAACCATAACATGGGCAGCACTGCAGCTGCACGACTCCCAGATGGGGGTCTGTGTATATGTGTGTATATGTGTGTTTAAGTGAGTGAGTGTCTGTCCGTCTGTGTCTGTCCGTCTGTTCCCTGCACTGGCATCCTGTCCAGGGGACCCCCTGCCTTGTGCCCTGTGGTTCCCTGTGACACTGAACCACACGAGGAGTCAGGAGACAAATGTGTATGACACTGACCTCCAGCATGTGCGTGAGGATTGCCAGGCAGTGAGGAAGACTCTCCTCCTCTTTTCTGAGAAGCACCTGCACCAGTGGGCCCAGGAGATTCCAGCCCATGCACCTGAAGATGCCCTGTGAGGTCAAACCACTGTCATCATCATCACCCTCATCACCACCCCCACCATCACCATCATCCTCATTATCATCATCATCATCACTCTCATCACCACTACCATCACAAAGACATACTAGATGACCTTATACTGACTGTACTTAGTCCCTCACAAGTAAAGTAATAAAGTAAAAGTAAAGGGCTGCTGCCATGACCACCGCTGCATTTAGTGACTGACCTCTCACCCACTGTCCCTCCCCAGGTCAGCCCAGGACCCCCTGAAGGTTCCCACTAAACCAACATGATTCACATTTTCTGCAGTTACCAGTAGTTCCACATTTACAAGGGAAGCAAATTCACATTTCCACTTTTGAAGTATTTACAGTCTTTGGTACCATAAATTAATCTTCAAATGCTGAGCGGGAGTGAGAACCCGCAGACACTATGCCATGAAGCAGAGCAGCCTCCCAAACAGAGACCAGCTCACCTGGTTCTTCTCATCCTTCACTATATCCTCCAGCCGTGCGCCGTCCCCTTGCTCGATGCACGCCCGGCCTGCGCTCACCAGCAGCTCATAGTCGTCCGAGCTGAAGCTGTCGTTCTCGACCGCCCTCTGCAAAGGCAGGACACGAGGGTTTCACCATCTGCCACCATCTGCAAGCTGCAGTTGCACATCTCCGGGTCACTTACACATCTCTCGATGATGACCTTCAGCTCCTCCAAAGCCATTCTTAAATCCCTGTCCCTTCACTGTCTCTCCCCGGGGGTACCTGTAAAGCGGAAACACAAAAACTGTGAGGTATGCTCTACCAAACTATATATTCTGCTAGCATAAAGAGCATACATGAAGCTAAACACAGCTGTCTGGAATTTAGGAGGTTATTAATCAGACAGACAGCGTCACGAACCTTTTTATTAGAGCCGGTCTGACGTCTGTAAAAGTCTGTCTCTTAAATGCTGGTCCTCAGTAATAGGATTTGCGCAGGTCATTGCACTGCTTCTCCTAAAAGATGAGCAGATTAATCCAAGGCCCCAAGAGAGAGAGAGAGACAGTTCTGGAACACTTTAAATCCATGATCAACATGTAATTTTAATTACAACTGCAAAATTACTGCCTTCTGTTTCATGAAGAATTTAAATATATAACCCGGCGCAGACTGGCTTACAAACGCTGCTGAGACATACAGCCTAATACACCGACACCCCTGGATAAATACAACCTCCTCAGTCAAACTTGCACAGATATGTTTCACATAGCGTCATGATAAGTACATTTATCTGCTGATAATTATTTAAAAATCTTAAGTGAGTATTATACCAACAATCAGTCCGGAAAGGAATTAGAGATACTGCTTTTGCGAACACAACTAACATACGTTTCCAGGAAACTAAGCACCGTAAACTAATTAAGATAGCATGCGGATAAAGTGCTTAAAAAGAAATACTTACACAGATATGTACAAAGCATTAAAAATGTTTTAGTGAAATATTATTGACAACCTCCACAAAACGCAACATAACACGGCCCCTTTTCGGGTGGAAGCGCTACCCCACGTGTCCGTATTCGGCTTCCGTATGTGTCGACGTCAGACGCCACGCCGCGCTGAGCGTGTTGAGGTCACTGGCGTCCGTGGAAAAATAAGCATGGAAGTGGCACCGGGTAGCTGCCGAGCTCGAAAGCCGGGAAAGAAAGGTCTGATTCAGTGTCAGACAACATGTAGAAGTAGCTGGATACTGTTACGATGCTTATTTTGAAAGTGTGTTTGTAAGAAGTGTATCAATTTGTTTGAAGTCGATGTTTAACTCAAATTAAATGAATATGCATACAGTAACTACACTAGACTAAAAAGCAATTTGAACGACTACGGAACTGGTGTAAAGTTTTGATGTCAGGAAAAATCACCTCGAGTTGTTTTTTTTAAATTAACATTCATGCTATGCTATGTCACATTTACACCTATCTAATACACCAACAAGGTGTTTTTGTAGTCCTTGTCACTTTTTATGCACTTAAATGTTATTATTTTACAGGTGGAAAAGCAGTTAAACCCCAGACTGCTGTAGAAATAGCTAAAAGGTATGCAGGACCTGATTTCCTATTGTGTGTCGTGCCTTGTGGACCAACTTTGCCGTTTACCGTTTCTGCAAAAGGGATACAGCATTACACCCAGTCAGCGATCAATTCGTACCTACACTTAAGATGACTTAAGCGCGAGATATTTAGTTTCAAGGCGTTAGTCTCGATGAAATGATGTTTGGGTAGATGGCAGACTGGTTAAGCCTTGTGCTTGTGATCGGATGGTCGCCGGTTAGAACCGGCTCTCAATAGAATAAGACGTCTGTGGGCGTTTGAGCGAGGTCCTTAACCCCCAGCTCCATGGGTGCTGCTGCAGCCTTTCGCTGCCTAGCTTACCCGCATCTGTATATGTGTCTGTATGTCCAGGAGAGCAAGATGGCCTTGGCGAAAAAAGTATTTCCCCGCAAAGTGTCATTAAACTTGCAAAATGAACTTGACCTTAATATGACTATGACACGGTGCCTCAGTGGACAGCACTGTTGCTTTACACCTCAGGGTTCAGAGATTAAAACCCACCTCCATTCTGCGTGTTGGAATTTGAATGATCTTTTTGTGTCATGTGGGTTCCACAGGCTAATCGCCTGGATTACACACTACAGGCAATAATCTGCTATGAAGTGGCGTCCCATCCAGGGTGTCCCTGTGCTTTGTCCTCTGTGCCACCTAGAACACGGATCCCCCATATAAGTAGTTAGATGATATACTGATGACTTGACCCCCATATTATTGTTTTTTTGCACCACTAACTTATGGAGTGCAGAGCTAAAGGTATGTCTTTATGTGGTTTAGTTCAGAGTTGAGAGCTGTCACTGTGAGGCTTGTTGCAGAAGGACAAACAGCAGAGACGAATTCTGACTCCTTAGTTCTGACCCTCTCATTTTGACTCTCTCTTGACCTTCAGGAGAGAGGCCTTGAGAGAGTCGCTTCGACAGAAGCTTGAGTTAGAGCAGAAGGCCCTTCGCATCGTAGAGCGCCTCCTGGAGGACAGTGTCACAGATGAGTTTCTTGTTGACTGTGTACGTTTCGCCTGAGCTCTTATTTTTGCTCCCCAGACCACAGGGCTGCCATGGGCTGACTGATAAGAGGAAGTTTCAGTGGATAATCTCTGATTCGTCTTTTCATTTTCCCAGTGCATAATGGCTTAACTATTTACTGAAACTCACAATTTCATCCATTTTTAGGCCAGGTTCATCGCGCCAGCTAACTACACAGACACTGTGGAGGAGAGGTCGATTGCCAAGATGTGTGGCTATCCCCTCTGCTCAAACAAACTTGTCAACGTAAGTACTGCAGTGATATTTCTATGTTTAATCGCAGCCATGCTTGTTAGACCTGACATTATGGGCATTGGTAGTTGACAAAAATTTGTTCTTATGCAGGTTCCGAAGCAACAATATAAAATTTCCACCAAAACCAACAGGGTATATGACATCACAGAGCGAAAGGTCAGGCCTGGAACTGTTTGCCAATGTCATAATTACCGCAAAACCTTTCTGCTGTTGACGGGACGGTCTATGTTTCAGTGCTTCTGCAGTAACTTCTGCTACAGTGCCTCGAAATATTTCTCCAGTCAGATTTCCAAGACACCCCTCTGGCTGCGAGGGGACGAGAGGTAAGGAAAAAGGAGGAGGGGGGTTTCAGTCAGAGGGGGAGTTACCTCCCACCCGAGGGCATGCGCTCACTGGCTTTGTTGTTCTTTGTTTCAGGCCCCCTGATGTTCAGCTGCTGCAGGAAGGGGAGAGGTACGTCTGCAGTTTTCAGTTTCCGGGGCCGGCGGGGGCTGCGTGCAAGTGCCCCTAAATAAGACCCCGCTTACATGTTCACTCCTGCAGTCTTTGAGCCGCTACGTCGCGTTATTTGTGTAAATCAGTCACGGACAGTTTGATCTCCCTTAAATACGTCCCAGCACATTCAGAGCAGAGGCTCTGCCAGGCAGTAAGCCACCTCCTGGCTGTCATTGTCTGAAAGCCCCTTTGATTGTGGATGTTCTTAGCTGGTCCATTTATGATTGTTTGTTCTTGCCTCTGGGTGTCTAGCTGACCCCTTTCATCCATAGTGGAACGGTTCTGCACATCTGTTTAGCTAGTAGAAGTTGAGCAGCTCAATCTGAAGACCTTGCTGAAAGGTACAACAGCGGGGACCCAGAACCCCGATTGTGTTTCCACGGCACCCGGGCACGTTGGACCCACCCACTCTGTGTTTGCATTCACAAAACTGTGGCTGGTCATTAAATCATATCACAAGCTGCGTAATCGGCTGGTGTCGGGTTTTCCTTCGGGTGTTGAGTTGCACGACCGCTAAAGGCTTGCCCTACAGCAGATGTTCCCTCTCCACCTCCCTGGTCTGGGTCACGTTACACCCCCCCGTCGGCTTCCTGTTCCCCATAGAAGGCCAACGTGCTTGCTGGCGTGCTTTGGGGTTGAGATGTGTGTCCTGATTTGCGCGCCGAACAGCCCGGCAGACCGGTTTGAGCGGCCGGATTTGTCCGCCAGCTGGCTGTATGTTTACGTGCGTATTGCGGCGTGGCGACAGCTGTCGGCGGAGGCCGGCCGCTGGCGAGCGAGGGAGCGCGAAAGAGAGTGAGGCCGCGTCCTGTTTGCTCAGCCTTTGTCTGGTATAATTGGAGACTGCTGATTTCGTCCTTTGATGAAATCCTCCTGTCATTTAGCGGACGGGGAAAAAAAACAGGGAGTGAGTTTCTTGGCCGTGAGGCTGCAGCCTGTTCATGGATTTTCTTCTCCATTATATCAGAAAACAGAAGACACAACACTGTTGTGATTTTTACAGCCATCCCTCACTCCATCCCCCACTCTCCTGCTCCGGGTGGGGGCCTGTATCTGTCCGAGGCAGTCCGAGTTACACCCTGTGGATTTTACTTATGGAATATAAAATACATTACACCTGTTTAGGTATGTGCGCTGCATCACCAGTTTGACCACAGGTTGCAGGGAAGATGTAGAGGACTGCGTGATTGTTGTCATGGTGATGTGGTATTTAGGGGTGTGTCCCCGTGCTGCTTTAACCTCCTTCACCTCCCCCCCCACACACACAGCGGCAGGTCTGGAGAAGAGGTGAAGCTTGCTGAGCAGCCTGTCACCGAGGGTGACATTGAGAACCCCGGTGCTGAGATGGCGCCCCCTACTGACTCCTCGGACAGCGAAGGCAAAAGCAGTGACTCTGAGCAGGAGTTTGTGTCCAGCGTGGTCTCAGGGGGACGGTCGGTGCCCATGAAGACACAGCCGGGGGAGCAGACCAGGACCGGGCGTCGCCCAGCGGGCAAGAAGCGGGTGACATTTAGGGACACGACCCACACAAGCAGCATGGAGACACGTACAAGTGTGAACAGCGGAGGGGCAGGAGAGCTGAGACATGAGGGGGAGGAGGGACGTCGGAAGTGTACTGCGGAGGAAACCTGCCTCCTCCTGAGCTCATGCAGCCTGGAGGGAGAGGGAGCACAGGCTGCTCCCCCTCTTCCGGGCCAAAGCCCAGAGCAGCTAGCAGCTAACGCCCCGCCCACTGTTAACGCCCCACCTACAACTAACACCCCACCCAGCGTTATCACCTCAACCATTGCTAACGCCCCGCCCACTGTTAACGCCCCGCCCACTGTTAACACCCCACCCAGCGTTATCACCTCACCCACTGCTAACGCCCCACCTAGCGTTAACATCCCGTCTACAGCTAACACCCCACCCAGCGTTGTCACCCCGCCCACTGTTAATGCCCCGTCCAGAGCTAATGCCCTGCCCAGCGTTAACGCCCCGCCCACAGTTAATTCCCCGCCCGGCGTTAACGCCCCGCCCACAGCTAATTCCCCGCCCGGCGTTAACTCCCCGCCCATAGCTAACGCTCCGCCCAATCCTCACACGCCACCTACCTCAAATGCCCCTCCCACCACTAATGCCCCGACCGCAGTTCATGCCCCATCCAGTGCTAACCAAGGTTTCACCCAGGTGGGCATGAGCAGGAAGGGTGCGGCTGGCTTGCGGGGTCTGCTGGGACTGGGGGCGGTGGGGGGGGGCCGGGCCGGTCCCCAGGCACTCAGGACCACCATGCTGGAGGGCTTGAGGAGCACGCTGACAGAATGGAGGACCCAGGAGACTCTGCACCTCCTCTATGGGCCTGGTTATGGTTCCTGGGACGTGGAGGAGGAACCAGATGAAGACGAGCTGGATGAGGATGACCTGGAGGAGTGTGTGGAAGACCCCGTTAAGCGACCCGCGGGGACGCTGGGGGGGAGGGTAACAACCCCGGTCCCAGACTACGAAACCCTGCGCAAGGAGACGGAGCAGCTGACCCTGAGGGTGCGGGAGTTTTACGGCGAGTGTACCCTGCCTGAGGAGGCGGGGCTGGGGGCGGAGCCAGCAGACAAAGGGGTGGAGGTGAGTCCGCCCGTACAGGGATAGGGTGGGTCTACAGAAACCTGGCCCAGAAGCGGGAAAACATGGACCAAGCTGGATAGGGAGGGCTCTCTGCCAACCAAAGGTGGATTGTCCAGGTCCAGAAAGTTAAAATCCAGACCAAGATTTTGTTTCAACCAAGCAATTGAGTATAAAGAGTCAGTCACAGAGTACTGGTTGGTTGAAACAAAATCTTGGTCTGGATTTTTAGTTTTTGGATCTGAACTATCTACCTCTGGTGGTAAGCCAATGGATTTGTGGGCATTTTACAAACACGTATACTCTCATGTACACTCTCCCACATTTCCTCTGTAGATCAAATTTGCTGAGCCGGGATTTGGGAACGGCAGGGGGAGTGTGTCCCTGCGTAGAGTTTCCAATGGGGGGGCCCCCAATAAGAGTTTTTGGGGTTCCTATACAGTGCTTGGCCCCCTGAACCTGCCAGGATCTCCTTGCCCCTACAGACAGACGGCACCCACTTGGGTGATTTGAATCTCTCTATTCATTCTTAGACATTTAAATCAAACCCACACAAAGTAAAAGATTTTTCTTCACTTGTTTAGTTCCTGCAGGTGCTACTTGACTTTGTTTGTAATGTTGGTGATTGATACCAAGAAAGTACAAATACGAATGTGCTGATAGGATCATGGATAATAGGCACAAATCTGTGAACTCAGAAGAGGCTCATATTTCTGGTAAGTTTCTGCCAAACTTCGCAAGTCAGGGTTGGTGATGTTAAGGTCACCTCCCTTCCTTCTGAGTGTTTCACAGAAACTTCAGTGTTACTGCGAAAACATGACACCAAACCCCAAAGACAGAAAAAGCTGTCAAGGTCTCATTGCGGTCTCTGCCGAGGTTTGCACAAAGTTCACAATCAGATGCTATCTTTGAGGTTCTGAAATCTTCCGGTGCGTGCAGTATGCACTGGGGCTCTCTAGGGGGCACTGTTTTTCACTGTGGGCTCCGCTTGGCATCAACGCCTCGCGTTTTGTTCAGAAAAGGTGCAGAGTTTCAGATACAGGCAGGTGTGGCTCTGACTTTTAGACCCGTTTGCCGGCATGATGGTGGAGAAGAGCAGCAGGGCATTGTGGGAAAAGGCAGGAGGAACTTTCATCTGTCATTTGGTTTTAGGGGCCCCCCCAGTCGCCTTATTGCTATTCCCCCCCAAGCCGTAAGGGTGAGGTTTAGCACATCACGTGTCACACTGGGGAGGGGGTTCTAAAAGGTCGCCTCTCCTCCATCAGAAATGCCCCCCACCCTATTCGCTTCCCCAGGCTCTGACCCAGTCTCCCCCTGCAGATCTCCCCGACCCCCCCCCATGCTTCTCTGGGCTCTGACCCCATGCTAATCTCCACAGCCCCCCCCCAGTGACGCGCTGGCCCTCCCGCTGGTCCATTCCCGCTCCCAGCACGTGATCCAGAAGAGCATTGTCATGGAGAAGCTCTGCAGAAGGTGGGTGTGAAAGTGCAGGATGCTCTCATGCACCGGCTTCAGACCTCATTCGCCCAGACTGACCTGGCCATCTGTGCTCACCGGGGTGACCCTCAGGTGTATCTGTGAGCCCTCAGGACGGCCCGGGTTTTTAAGCTAATTGAATAGAGCTTTTGGCCTGTGCAGTAATTCTGGGTCTGCTGTCAGGTCAGTGCTATCGCATGGCTCTGCATTTTTAATGGACTGGCAATAAGCGAACAATCGCGTAACCTGATTACCTGCCGGACACGGGGGGGCTTTGAAATCCTGCCAACATTGGGACATAAAGCAGTGTGTGCTGCTGGGAGTGGCTCATTAACCCCCCCCCCCCCCCCGGCAGCCTCAGAGACGTCGTCGGACCGCTGGGCCTGACCATGAACGACGTCACGGCTGACGTTAGCAACCTCGTCAGGACATTCCGGTGAGTCTGGCTTTGCAGTTGCCTCCTGTTCGAACTTCCTGTTCGATACAGGAAATGGGCCACTGAGATCATCACGCCGATACATAAATAGCGCCATCCGATGGAGATTCTGGCCAGGGGGACCCTGAGGAACAGCATGTAATGATTTCATTTTGGGTGTTTCCCCTTCGGTTTGTAAAAATATCAGACTGAAAATTTCTAGAAAAATAGCAGCGTTAGACAGCTTTTGGTTTCTGATTCCTGTGGGTGGTAAGAGTTCTTTCAGTCTGACTGGTGAGGTGTGAGTCTGCTGCTCAAGGCCTGCCCCCACGTCCCCCCCCCCCTTCTTTTTCCGTCGTGATGCTGCCCCCCCCCTGTCTGGAAGCCTCCTGTGGGACTCACTTCATTTCCTCGGCAGATTTATTTTGCTCACTGTTCGGGGGAGCAATTGGTTGAAAAGGGTGATATAGAGGCTGCCAGGAGGGGGCGCTGACGAGCAGATCCTCCGTCATGGCGATGGCACGCAGTGCAGCTCCCTCGCGTTTGGTCCTGGGGTGTGACCGGCACCGTAGTCCGACACCGCGCTTGTCTGGCAAGGGCTGGCCGTCCCACCGGCGGCACTGAAGCGTCAGTCAGGCTGCTTAATGGATCCTGTGGTGTCACTGTGGGGAGTCCAGATCCAGCCGGGCTTTGTGAAGACTTCACACCCCAGATCCTGCGAGATGGGAGAGTGCGCACGTGTGTGTGTGTGTGTGTGTGCGTGCGTGCATGCGTGTGTCTGTCTGTCTGTCTCTGTCTGTGTGTGTCTGTCAGTGTTTGTGCCTGTGTGCGTTTGTGTGTGTGTGTCTGTGTCTGTTTTTGTGTGTGTCTGTGTCTCTGTGCGTTTGTGTGTGTCGGTCTGTCAGTGTTTGTGTGCATTTTTGTGTGTGTGTCTGTGTGTCTCTCTGTCTGTATGTGTGTGTGGTCTGTCTGTCTGTCTGTATGTGTGTGTGCGTGTGTGTGTGACCTGTTACTCAGGCCTGTCTTCATCAATCCCGACCCAAATCCACTGTTCCAGTCTGAGCCTGTCAGCCTGCCCTGTAAACACCTCTGTGAACAGGCAGTGACCAGTATCATGGTGTCACAACGTCCCCCAATCGATGAGGAGGGACCCCCCCCCCCTTGCAGTAGAGCAGGAATGAAGTACATGTGCTGGCTGTCAAACCCGATTCCATTAGTTGCCCTACCTCTCTTTCAGGCGGGGGTGGGGGGGTTTGTTCTGGGACCCTGGCATCCCGTTGTGGGCCGCGGAGGCTTTTAACCTTCTCCTCCGCTCGCTAAAGTGCTCGCCGAGTGGTTAGGGGGGTGGGGGGTCAGAGACCCACGCCCTCCCCAATCAGGTCGCCCAGTCGATCCTCGCAGAGTGCAGGGTGACACCTTCACCGCCGTCTTCAGAGACGCCTATGATTAATTCATTCCCATCTCCCCACAAAATGGTAATATTTGTTGGGCTGAATTATTGATGGGGGGGAGGGGTCTGATAAGGGGGCTGTGAGAAACGTCAGAAGGTAAGACTGGAAGAGGGAGACGTCTGCTTTTGGGGGCGGCTGGCCGTGATTGGCTCCATCCCCTGAGTGCGCTGCGGCTTTCGGTCTCGCCACCGCCCGCCATTCAGCCGCTCAGATTGTACCCACTTCCTGAAACGACTCCTCGCCTCGCAGTCGTGCTCCTCCGCCGTAAGCTCATCACGCCGCCTCATTCGCTGCCAGCTGCTGGCACCGGCTGCGGTCAGAGGTCGACCTGAAACCCGGTCCCACACGCTCTCCACTCCTTTGGCTTGGTCTCACCGCATTCCACATATGATTTACCACAGGATTTACCAATGAATCTACCCTCCCCTGCCCTCTGCTACCCTCCACTGCCCCCTGCCACCCTCCCCTGCCCTCTGCTACCCTCCCCTGCCCTCT